TCACGATTTACGAGGAAATCACTCCCTCTCTCCCCTCTGTTCTTTACTGTCAGCACTTCACACTGGTTAAACATTGTTACTTTAGAGCAACACATCAGTGTAAAATCTGAACTATTATAAATTAAATTGGTGACAGGTAACTATCAAATGTTGTAGCGTGGAGCCTCGCGCGAGGCTAGTGGTTGCCTGCCCTCCACCGCCCAATGTATTAAATTTTACTCTCCATCTTCCTAAACAACCTAACGGAGAACTACGTACAAAATTCACCTAGTAACTTCCTGCAGTCAATTAAGGCAAAGAAACTTTGCGATTAATCTAATTTAGAGGCAAACTGAAAACAAAATACAAGAGAAATTCCTAAATATTTGACGAGGAAGTTTGAATGAAGAGCCAGAAGTTCTCCAGGAGTACAACCCCTCATTCAACCCTGAGACAACATCCACAGATAGTTAACACGTGTTCAATTACAGGTATAATAAAGACGATTGTTAAATTATCTTGCATAAACCAGACGAGACCAGCAAAAAATTACTACTAACAAAATTATGGCATCTTTTTCCCTCCAATTCATATTTTTTACACAAATTTCGCAACAATTGCGCAATGGATATTTAAATCACTGCCTAGTTAGCTACCCCAACTGGGCCTCTCCCACTGCACCAAGAACGGAGTAAGACAGCCTAATTATATTTATACATTCTCTGAATAACTTGGTTTAAGGAATATAACTACACTAGGCCTACTGGCCACCCACTGGTTTAAGGAATATAACTACACTACGCCTACTGACCACCCACTTTGGGCAGGACCTAGACACAGGCAGTTCAGGCCTGAGGAAAAGAATGTCAACTGCTTGGTCAGGTCACTGAAGGCTAATGTAAAAGATTAAGGTCTAGTTTTCAGTATTAAGAGGAACATTAAAATATAAAAGAAAAGCAGCAAGGAAATTCAAATGACTAAAGAGCATTGAATGCAGAAATATTCACTGGCAGAGAAACACATTAACAAGTTGCACTGGTAAAGTTTACTGCATCGGCAGATTTATCACTGACGTGGCACCATTACTGATCAATAACATTCTTCTGTGTTCATATGAACACAACGGATCGTTCTCCTAAAACTTTCATACTTATTTAAGTACCATATATGCATTTTAATGAGCGCATTAACTGCAAAACTCAAGAAGCCTCGCCTTTATTTAAAAAAGTATTTTGTTATATATACACTGTATAATTTCCGAATTTGAACGTAATGCATAATAGATTTGATGATCGTTTATGAATAATATTTACCAAGCCAGATCTGATTATAATTAACCTCGACAAGTTGGAGAAACTAACGTGGAAATCAGTTAAGGTTTTCTTACCACTAAGTGCGACCACAAGACGAATGTTCCTATAGCCGGCAGCACTAGAAAAGTACTGGAAGTTGTAAGTGGCCTCCAGAAGCAGAGAAGATCAACCAATTACCTTTACAAGGTTGTTGAATTGCCTCTGGCAGCTTATAACATCAGCATTTAAGAGTACAACAAGGACGAACATCAACGAGTGCGCCTGTCCCGGGTTGGTGAAAGTCAGTGGACGTGTAGTGCTAGTCAATCACAATACTCTTAGCTGCCCCTGTCACGGCACTACAATACTCTTAGCTGCCTTAGTCACGGCACTGCAAAACTCGCAGCTACCTCAAGTCACGGCAGTACCTATATTATTGAAGCCGGGAGACACACGGCAATCATTCCCCTCTCTGTGACCCAATTTCTAAATGTTAATACAATACAAACTTGCATAGTGGTTGGAAACACTGTCATAAAGTTATAAACGCAAATAAATTATGTCGCTTGATAATTAAATTAAAAGATAAGAGTACAATAAAAGCTTAAGTACAAACCAGAATATCTATACTGCCATCCATAAAAACGACCACTAAGCACAACTTAAAAAAAAAAGGAGGTTAAGGTGAAATCTGTAAACTCCAAAAGCATGCATGTTATTTGTCCATCTATTAAAAATCTATATTATATTCAACATTCAAACAAGATTGAAGACTTATTTATAATAAACAGCTTCGATGATCCATTTTTAAAACTGCTGTACTGTACGTGAGCGACCAGGAAGAGTTGTACAGTAGCAAACAGGACATGTAAATGACACCTACAATATGGAAGACAGAAAAATCGGGTAAGCTACGCGCATTTGGGATAACAGTATTTAACTAATCAATACTGCCCGGGTCTGGGGCCGGGCCGCGGGGGCGGTGACCCCCAGAAGAGACTACAGGTCATTAAACGAATGAAACCTCCCTCGTTTCATTTTAATCGAGAGGCTTGCTAAAATACAGCAACACAATCTTGTATTTGACAGGGATTACGATGCTTAGCTCATAACAATTTACACCAAGAAAAGATTGTAAAAAATGTCAATGACAACCAACATTAGTTTCTTAAATTCCCTAGCCAACAGCTGTTTCACTAACACTGCAGTAGCAACATACTATGAAGGTCATTCCCCACCCAACGAGCATCACTGATGTATGACATCCCTCCAAGAAGAGGCCTTCTCTCAAGGCAACAATCACCCAAACCTCGCTTCCTTGTCGGGGAAGAGCAGGGAGTGGGGTGATAAGCACGAGATATTTTCCAAATTCTGCCACGAAATAGCTACCCATATTTAGTAGTTTCGGCCGCCAAAAAATAAACTACTCGACCATACTACTTTAAAGCTTGCAGAGAACCTTATAATACTGGACGTTACAGAGCAATTCTTCAGGTTTACGTTTACCTGCCTCTAAGTATAAACATCCATACAATATCATGTACCACATGCGGAGCTCCGGTCAAGCTCAAGTCTTAGTGTGTAGTCGTATGGGAAAACTTTCCCTACCAGAAGGAAATGAAAGTTTACATTGAGGCCTGTATTCCGTTTTGGAACCTTTGCGTGCCCCGTGATACACCAAAATTCCAAAACTTAGATCACGTCTAGGAAGTTTATTAAGATGGGGAAGGTTCCCGTAAGCTTTTTCTTTCTTTTTGCCCTGAAAGAAAGTTATCAATACTTCATACTCGTAAACTCCGAGTTAGGAATTAAAGGTTTGGTTACAACAGTAAATACAATTCATAAATAACTCAGTTTGGAAAGGAACTTCAGACGACGTATAAAAGACAGTCCATGGCCCCGTGGCTAAAGCTCCCGCTTCACACACGGAGGGCCCGGGTTCGATTCCCGGCGGTGGAAAAATTTCGACAAGTTTCCTTACACCTGTTGTCCTGGTCACCTAGCAGCAAATAGGTACCTGGGTGTTAGTCGACTGGTGTGGGTCGCATCCTGGGGGACAAGACTGAGGACCCCAATGGAAATAAGTTAGTCCTCGATGACGCATTGACTTTCTTGGGTTATCCTGGGTGACTAACCCTCCGGGGTTAAAAATACGAACAAAATCTTATCTTATGGTTTACTAAGTTCGTTTAGTGCTTAACAAGACAATTGTAGACACGTCGGAGTACAAACTGTACTACAAAATATTAAATTATAATGTATTGGATCCTTTTGCTTTCCTTATTCACCATAGTTTATAAACTGCATCATTAATAAAATGCAGTGGAATTAGTCAGCTCCACTTTTTTTTTTACTACACCGGGAACAAACAAGACAGCCAGTCATAAGGATCAACACCTCAGAGACTTGTTACACTAGGTAACAGGATAGTAAACAGCAATCAAGAAGGGGAGGGGGGTGGACTAACGTCATAAATGAACTAAACTCAAGCCTGTGACACGTTTCGCACTGACTGGTTTGATGGTCCGTGTTTCATCAACCCAAGACAGCGGGTAACAATCTCCTTACATTCAGTATACCCTTTACTTTTCCTGTGTACTTTTTATTCATATTTCAGTAATATTTTCCTTCCAATTCATGCCTGATTTGAGACCGGGCCGCAGGGGCCATGATTCCTGTGAAGACTGCCCAAGTTTAACGCGAGACTTTCGGGGGTCAACGTCCCCGTGGCCCGATTCCAAATCAGACATCACGATGGATGGCCTAATCAACCAGGCTGTTGGTGCTAGCAGTAGGTAGTTTGCACTACAACCCTGCTAATCAGCAAGTGACAGACTTATCAAGTTCCCTTTCGAGTACAATACCTACCAATGAGGTATTAAACCTCAACTGTTTATCCCTTACAATTATACATACAGAGGAATTACCAACAAACGCCTAGCAGTCTTCAAGCGGGAACCGGACAAATTATTGTTCCTGATCAGCTAGGCTATGGATCTTACATCTAACTACACGTGGTTGTACCAACAGCCTCGCTAACCTGGCCATTAACCAGGAGTCTGGGATCAAGCCGCGGGGGCGGTAACCCCCACGGCTCGGGGGGCTTACATTCGAATCAAAAATAAATCAATGGCATCATACATACAATTTACCACTATGCTAAAAGTACAAAGTGAATCAAAAACTGAATTAAAAACTTATTCTCTCATGGGTGGGTAAGTTGAACCTGCCTAGCACGGGCCGGTAAGGCCTACTACGGCGCCTCTCGTGTTATAATTGCACATCTACCTCGCTACAAAATTATAAACACCTCCACAAACATTTTATATTTCAAGTTAATACAACTTTAACCATACAAAATTACACTCACGTTACTGTTTAATATTTCATAAATAACAGCCGTCAGCATGAAATTGATTCTGGGGTGAACAAACTGGTCTACGTTTTAGTTAATATCAAACACTGTTCTTGGTTAAAGGAATAATGGCTTCATTATTAAAAAAATAGAGGTGTTGGTCAGGGTACATTTACAGTTTTACAAAAAAAGGCAGTAAAACATTACTAGCTTCAGAAGCCCCAATGTTGAATATAACATGAAAAGCTGCATGCAAGCGACCGCTACATCACGAGAATAACAGTCACGTCTAATGCATGCAACTTTGAGAGGCAAGTACTGAACCTCACGTAGCAAAAGTTACGCCGGTAACACAAAAACTTTCCTAAACTTACCTCTCTTTAAAGTCCAATTAATCCACAAGGATAGTATAAATCCGTTAGGTCACTTAACATTCCACCATAAATCAATTGAAAGTATCACTTCATCATACGTCAAAACTTTTAGTAAATTCTCACACCACCGCAGCAATAAACGCAAAACTTTAAAAACCACCCACAAACACAGTAACACCCTTCCTCTGTCACTTCCACCGTATTACTGAGGAAAGTTGGCAAGAGAGACCAGCAGCCTGGGTGAACTCAAGTCCGTATAGTGTGATGGTTGGCCACAGCACCGTGACGCCACGCCACATGGCCGCTACCATTGGCTCACTTCTACCAGCGTCACACACCCGCTTAACTTAAAGAAACGCTCACCTGAGACTTGGAAGTGTCCAGGTAAGTTGTTAAATGTTTAGCTACACTCATTCTGCATACTAATGAGCATCCTCGAGTCCTATGGACGCTAAGCAGCTCCTGATGCGCTCTCGCTTCCCGAGATTAGATAACATCACTCTCACGTTCTCTACCATTACAGAACTTCTTACTTAAGATAAATTCATACTAGCACCCCGCTGATAAGGGTTGCACAAGTTATTATAATAATAATAATAATTCATGGTATAACTTAACAAATCTTTGATAACTGTGTTGCAGTGGAATGAGCTATGCTTAGGCCTCTACAACAACAATTGTCCTCTAAGATTTGTTAAGTTATACCATGAATTAAAGAAAGATCCTAGACTTCACCTTACGAAACAGACAAAGTAAATGCGATAGTAATTATGGATAAGGTAGATTATAGGGTAAAAATAAACATATTAGGACACAGGAAAACTGCCGCGCCTCTTAAGGGAACTCAGGTGGAAAATGAAAACGCAGAAGCTCAAAAGGAATAAAAGTATTTCAGATGAGTGAACGGGTAAGTCTTGAAACCATGGCAGGTGAGTCGTTAAACTCACAGGCCAGTGCGTTAACCACTGGACCAGCTGGCTCTAATAAGATTCATCTAACTAGGTATATTTCTATACGCCATAGGGAGGCAGGTAAGACACATGGGCAACAGTCAGGCAATTTTATTCATAAACGCTTCGCCTACACAGTAGGCTTCTTCAGTCGAGTACAAAAGTAGGCAGAAGCAGTAAAGATGTGAAGACGATGTAATTAGTCCGTCACCCTTGTAGTCGGTATTGTATACCATTTTAATATTCACACCATAGGGAGGTTAGCATGGGTACCACTGTGATCCAAGCTGGTGTGGGATTAGTCTGTGAAAAACCCGCATTTGTGGTCACAGTGGTGGCCATGCTAACCTCCCTATGGTGTATAAAAATATACCTGGCTGGATGAATCTTAGACCCAGCTGGCTGAGTGCTTAACGAACTGGCCTGTGAGCTTAACGAATCATATGCCATGTATCAGAGCCGAGCCCATTTGTAATTTGTTTGCAATAGTGTTATTACGACTGAGTGGGGGACAGGGCGGACAGGGGTCAGAGTGTTTGAGCAACTGGAAATGGGAACACGAGAGCACAGCCAGAAGTTGTATACAAGACGAGTCACAGGAGTGTTAGAGAGTATTTCTTCAATCTTAGAGTTGCCAGGAAGTGGAACGACTTGGACAGTGGAGTGGCAATAACTGAATCAATGCATAGCTTTTAGAAAAGGTGCAATACGGCCTTCGAAGACAAGAGAGTGAACCCAGTAGAGCGGCAGCGAAGAGGCGGGGCCAGGAGCTGAGACTCAACCTCTACAAGTACATATTGGTGAGTACACACACACACACACACACACACACACACATTGAATACTGAGAGGAATCAACAAGGTGGACAGAGACAGGATGTTCCAGAGATGGGACACAGCAACAAGAGGTCACAATTGGAAGTTGAAGACTCGGATGAGTCACAGGGATGTTAGGAGGTATTTTTTCAATCACAGAGTTGTCAGAAAATGGAACAGTATGGAAGGTGAGATAGTGGAGGCAGGTACCATACACAGCTTTAAGAAGAGGTACGATAAAGCTCATGGAGCAGGGAGAGTGGACCTAGTGGCGACCAACGAAGAGGCGGCTCTGTTCCACAAGGAACAGTCCTCGCCCCCATCCTGTTCCTCATCCTCATATCAGACATAGACAGAGATGTAATCCACAGTACCGTATCATCCTTTGCAGACGATACTAGGATCGGCATGACTGTCATCTATTGAGGACGCGGTTAACCTCCAAGATATAAACCAAGTTTTCCAGTGGGCAACGGAAAACAATATGATGTTCAATGAAGACAAATTCCAGATACTCCGTTAATGAAAACTGGAGGAGATAATAATTAGAAATGAGTATACTACAAACTCTGATCATACAATAGAGCGGAAAAATAATGTGAGGGACCTGTGATTGGTAATGTCTGAGAATCTCACTTTCAAGGATCACAACTACAAAGAAAATGGCAGGGTGGATAATGAGAACGTTCTAAACAAGAGATGCCAAGCCAATGATGATCCTTTTCAAATCACTT